CAGGTGGGCAATATTCACGTCGTCATACTTACTGTTCCTCTTATCTGACCTTTGAGCCTACTTTGTGGGGCGTCATCTTCGCTCATGCTTTTGACGACTGCGAATTGGTCCCTCTGTCACGTTGCTCAGCATGTCCACGTAGCAATGTCGGACACTTATCGCCATGCCAGCTTTTGCGAGTGTGTGAGTCGAAATCCTAGTTAGGTGGGCCAAGCCTTTTTTTCCTGTAAACACCTTCAACAACCCTAGTCATGACCCTAAAAACCCTAAACCCTAAACCCTAAACCTTAAACCCTAAACCCTAAACCCTAAAAACTCAAAGACCCGAAGGTCGGATCTATCGTCAGCGGCCACATCACCAACTCCTCGAAAGAGTTCGGCGTGTACGTCAACTTCGGCTGCGAGAAAGACGGAAGGCTTCTAGGATTCGATGGGCGCGTTAACCCAAAGGCTCCATGTACCCATATAGTAGATACTTAAGCCTTAAAGGGGTCCCTATATAGGTACTTTAAGGCCTATATAAGTATCTACTATATGGGTACATGGAGCCTTAGGGTAAGGGCTCATGGCCTTTTGGTGATCTTGGGTTGCAGGGCTTAGGGACTACATGCTCAGACCTTCAGGCGATTGCACAAGTCCCGAGGCAAAAAAAGGGGATGACTCTAGATTACTATGATGGTTGGGCACAGACACAACTACCAGGGCTCCAAGTCCCGTTGCAAGAGTTCCTGACCCTGGGTCCTGGATAGACTAAGAGTCATGAAGAACAAAAGGCCCCAGAAGTGAAGCCTCGCCGCCCCTCTCGGCTCGGCTGCACCGGCGCGAAGGGTGAGATTAAGTTTCAATCACGGTTTTTTTCGTTCAGACCCAACTACAGGCGATCTGCACGTTGTGTTCCGAGTGAGAGGGGCTCCAGACTGGAAGCCGGCCCCAGGACTGATTTATCATAGGCCGGTGCAGCATCCGGAAGGCAGCACCTCAGCAACAGCGCGCAGCGCAGCCGGCCATGGTGGATGACCGAGATCGAGAGAGGGAAGAGACAGCTTTGCGGCAAGCCTACACCGCTGCAGCGATCCGTAAGAATGAGGAGATCATTGCGGCCGAGATCCAAGCTGAAGATAAGGGTCCGGAAGCTTCGAACGAGAGCCCGAAGATCAAGAAGGACCTTAAGGACCAAGAGGCCTTGCAGGTGACCGTGTGGTCCATGAGTGGGGCGAAGCTTTGCAGCTTGCGCCTTGCTCCCACGGCTGCTTGCAGCGATGTCATGCAGGAAGCGGCCAAGGCCAGTGCAATCCGGCAGTCGGAGTTGAAGCTCTTCTGGGAAGATCGGGAGCTGGCTTTGAAGACTCGGCTCTCCGACATAGCCTCCGATCGCTCTCTGGACCTGAACCTCCTTCGCATTGATCCGGAGTGGCAGACCTTCAGCGAGGTGGGTGGTTGTCAAAATTAGGGTCCCTTTTTGGGTCCTTATTTTCATACGGCACCTATTATTTAGGCTGCCCCAAAAGGGACCATTATTTTGACAACTACCCAGGTGGTCTCTTATGCTGGTTGCCAGCTCGCCGTAGCCCCCGCCAGGCTCCAGGCGGACAAGCAGCTGGTTTTGCGTGCAGTCAGACAGAATGGCCATGCCCTGGAGTACGCCTCCGAGTCTTTGAAAGCAGAGAAGGAGGTGGGGGATTCCGAAAATAGGGGACCCTAATATAGTACCCTAAATAGTAGGACCCTTATTATAAGGACCCCAAAATAGGGGACCCTAATATTGTACCCTAAATAGTAGGACCCTTATTATAGGGACCCCAAAATAAGGCACCCCTCATCTTCGGAAACTCCCAGGTCGTCCTGGCAGCCGTCCAGGATGCTGGCCTTGCCCTGCAATTTGCCAGCTCTCGGATGCGAGACGACGTCGAGGTCGTTCAGGCGGCTGTGGCCCAGAATCTATGTCATAGTTGGGTAACATTTTACATTTTTAAGGGTACTTAAACCCAATAAGGAACATAAATTTTCAATTTTTAATACTACCCCAACCATGAACTAGGAGTGGCAATGCCCTGAACTTTGCCTCTTCAAGACTACGGGGAGATGCGGAGCTGGTTTTGGCCGCAGCGGCTTCCCCTGGCGCCTTTCAGTTTGCATCAGAAGCCCTTCGCTGCGATCGCAAGGTCGTCTTGGCAGCCGTGGACTTGAACGGCCTTTGTCTGGAGTTCGCGTCGGGGCAACTCAAAGAGGATCGGGAAGTGGTGCTGACGGCTGTGCGACAGGATGGGCTTGCCCTGGAGTTTGCTTTTGAGGAGCTTCGTGCCGACCGTGAAATTGTCATGGAAGCTGTGCAGGTGAACGGCTTGGCTTTGTGGGATGCGCATGAGAGCCTGAAAGCAGACAGAGAGATCTTGGCAAATTGCCGTTGGGGCTGACGCACGGCCGGAAAGCCAGGAGTCTGGCGATCGTGACGGTCGCCGTCGTAATCAGAGACGTCACCACCACATCAGCGCCATCATAAGGAACGTGATTGAACATGCCTTAGCAGCTTGAGGGGTTATACTGTAGGAATCAAGCAGGTTGTTTGTTTCATGGAGGGTACCAGGTCCGGTTCTGCGAAGGATAAGTTTCGAGCATCGGTTCGTAGCAGAAATCTGCGGCCGACAGGACTTGGGCCAGAAAATCTGGGGTGTAAGTTTACGGAGCTGCAAACAAAGGCCATAGATCCCGTCCCGAACCGGCCAACAGAAGCTCCCCAAAAGAAGCGAGCCCCCCGAATGAAAACAATGGAAGCTCCTTCAAGATGTTGGAGATGTGGCGGTGTGGTCGCCCTGCTTTTCCTCTGCCAGCAGGAATCCGAAGTGCGAAGCTTTTGTGTACGATGTCTCAGGGGAGGCTCAAGCTATCAAGATTTGCATCGGTTAACAACACCCGTCCATCCATCTATCGGGCTTCAAAGTTCCGCGCACCCTGCTCGAAACTCATTCGCACTACCTCTTTCAGCACAGCACGTGAGTCTGAAACTCGTTGATGCCTTACGAAGCAAGGAGGATGAGTTTCGACCTTGGCGACGTAGGTCACAGTTATCATCGTTTCAACGGGAGATGAGTGGGGGCAAGAGTCCGTGCATCTGGAAAGCAGGAGTTTAGTTGCTCGGTAAGGCTTCACCATCCTGCAAATCTGACATTGTAAAGTCTTGCTTTATGCTACCCATGATCTCTTTTCCTTCAGCCCGCCTTTGAAGAAGAACCCACACAGCCGGAAAAGAAGGTGCACGGCCGCAATGGCTTCGATGCAACAGCCCGCCCGATGAACAAACACAGACCTCGCCTGACGAATGCTGAGGCCATCTTATGGGTCTGAGGCTCACTATTGTCAATCAAAATTCATACGTGGATTCGGAGGCACCAGACAAGTGATATGAAAAGCTACCGACAATACGAATCTCGTTGGTCTTGTTGATCTTGATCCCCTGGGTTTTTCCTCTTTCAGGCAGCCGAAGTCGAGAACACAAGTTGAAGATGCAAAACTGTAACCTGAAGTCCCAGACCCCAACACAGTTCGCGAAGAGTCGACGAGCTACCGAGATGTTCATCGGAGTGTGAAGGGATGCCACACTTCGTCTATCACCTAGCTTGATTGCGATTTGGGAGCTTGGCTTAGATGTCAGCAGCTTCGGGTCCTCCCCAATCAAGCAGCTCTCACTGCTCGTTTGTGGTCTAGGTGTGATAGCACGTGTTTGGATGAACAGGCCCATCCGAAGCGAACCGACCGTTTCTTGTACTATGCTCTCCAGCATCTGAGCCCCGAGCTGTGCGAGAGGAAAGCCTCCAAGCTTGTGAGCTCCGGCACCCAGGCTCAGTGTCCCCCAAGCCGACTGGAAGAAGTATCGCGTCGGGGACCGGATTGAGCGCATGGTGGTGCACAAGGTCAAGGTAGCGCCTTGGCGGCATCGGCCCAAGGGTGTTACGGCAGCAAACAGGGGCTTCAAAAGGGCGTCCCGGGGGCAGTACTCCTAGGCTTTGGTAAGTTGGGGCTTTGTGGTAAAGGGTGTGGATCAGAGCTTCGGGAGCCTCGGGGCTTATGTAGGTACATGGACCATCTTTCTGTAACTTAGGACGGAGTCACCTGAAAGATAAAGTCTTGAGATCTGCTGTCTCGCCACTGGAAGAGAAACTGCCCCAAAACCCCTGCCCACAAATGAGAGTTTTCGCCAGCGTACCTCTTGTTCTCAGAAGCCCATTGACACAACCCTTCAAGACACTTACAGAGCGCTTATGGAACCTCCGGAACCCTCCTAAGGCCACCCTTACAGAACTCGTATGGAACCCTTACAGAACCCTTATGAAATCAAGCCCTCATAAAACCCCGAGAAGCCCGTTATCGAACCCTTCTGAAAGCAAACCGTCATAAAAACCCCCAGACGCCCTTATAGAGCCGTTATGAACCCTCATCATATGTCACACAGAACCACTACGAACCTGAAAAAGATGCCATACAACCCCTAGAAATTTTTTCCTCGGCAAGGAGCGGAAGTTTGTGGACCTCCTCGTCGTCGGCTCGAAGGGCCAATCGGTGGGCCTGGCCGCTTCCAAGCAGGCCGGAAAGAGTTGTTGGGGTGCTGTAGGGCTGTAGGGTTTTCAATGGTTTTGGGACTTTGGGGGTTTAGGGTCATTTAGGGTTTGGGAGAGAGGGAGAGAGAAGAGTGCGTGCCTGTGTCTTGGGGTTTAGGGTCTATGACGTCTTTGAGTACGAGGCGCAGGAAGTGGGGGTGGTTATGTTCGGGCCGCTGTAGGGGTTAGGAAATATGATGCTTTCTGCGCCAGTGGCTATCATCATCGACATGGCATCCGTATTGAGGTAGTCTGCAGGGGGGTTCAAGCCTACTGGCGACGGCCTGCTTGTTCGCATGATGTGTGTGAGTGTGTTGTGGAGGTGCTGGCTCAGATGTTTCTGACAATTGCTGGGTTGAAGTGCCGGCAAACTTAGTCTTCTTCAGTCGCAAATGCAAGGGCACGGCTTTGCGATATAGTCAGTTGGGCGCCTAAGACAGCCTCATCTAAGACAGCCTCATCCGGCTCTTTGAACGCCCTGTGCTCGTGTCCACTTCTATCATCACGACTGCCTACACTCCAGCACTCTGATATCATACCCTAATTTTTGTTTAAACCCTATCGCTAAATGGTAGGATCCGCAGTATAGGGATCTAGCCTTTAGATACCTTAGATCTTCTACAAAGGTCCCATTCACCACACTATTGCCGGAGCTCCTTGGATCCTAAGCACTGCGCCGTAGCCACTGTGGCTCAAGCGCCGCCGTGTTGGTTTAAAGTGAACTAGTTCTGCCAGTCTCCTTGCATTCTTGGCCATGCGTCTCCCAACCCAATTTCCTACTCTGCTCAACAGGTCGAGCAGGAGACAGGCCAAGGAATCGGAAGCTGCCAAAGAAAGCGCCGAAAAGGCTTCGGAGGCAGCAGAGGATGCGGCAAAGGCAGCTCGCCAGGGTGCTCAAGAAGTAGCTGACACTTCTGCTCGTTGCCTTGACAAAGCCTCGGATGCAGCGGCTGATGCCAGCACATCAGTCCATGCCGGGGTTGCGGATGCTGCTGACTCATCGGCGCCTTATGTCGAGAAAGCTCGCCAGGGTGCCAAGGATGCTTATGACGCTACTGGTCCATGCCTTGAAAAGGCTCAGAAGAAGGGGCAGGACATGGCCGACGCCTCAGCGCCCTATGTCGAGAAGGCTCGCCAAGGCATGCAGGATGCATTCGATGCATCGAAACCGTACCTTGACAAGGCCCACGAGGGTGCCCAGGATGTGGCTGACGCCTCAGCGCCTTACGTCGAGAAGGCGCGCCAGGGTGCCAAGGACGCTTACGATGCTTCTGCTCCTTACCTTGAGAAGGCTCAAAAGAAAGGACAGGACATGGCCGATGCCGCGATGCCATGGTTCCAGCAAGCCACAGATGCAGCACGCCAAGGGGCCCAAAAGGTGGCAGATGCCTCAGCCCCCTACCTCCAATCTGCCTCGGAACAAGCATCAAGCACAGCCGCCGCAGCCCACAAGAGCGCCGAGAATGCTCTCAACACGTCGGAGAAGAATTGGGGCTGGCTGTCGTGCGACAGTTGCCAGGCAACTACATCCGATGAGGTGGTCGTGGAGAAGGGGGCTACAGCGGTTCAGCAGCCTTTTACCGCATGAGCTAGTGCGCGCGAGTTTTACCGGCAAAAGCCCGGATACGTGGGACACAGCTGGGGAAAGCACTGCACTTGTGCAGATAGCTCCTGTCCTTAATACAGATTTCAAGAACATTCCCTGGAAGCCCAGCCACTTGCATCACATGCCAGTATACCATACTTATAGATTTCACAGAGGCTCCCAGGGATGAGCCAGCTTGTGGACAATCTTGCAGTTTTGATGCAGGACTCTGGCGCACGATGATGAAGCCGGATCCCTGACCCTGCATGGAAGCGCAAAAAAACAATGACATATCATTCAGCCTGACCATAATGAAACAGTTAGGGTCTGTGGCACAATAGCCAGCAAGCCCCCTTACTGATGTGTCAGTGCACCTGGCATAGAGAGCATTGCTGTACCGCCTTACTTCTGTGTGTTTTGCTCACTGCCTATGTTCTACTTACTTTATACTATTTTGTACTCGTAGGACGCTCTCTGTCAGTTGTCGTGCGTGACATGTCCATAGTGCAAGCTCGGACACTATATGCCGTGTAAGCCTTGTGCGATTGTGTGAGTCGAAACACCAAGCCGTTTCGTCCACCCCAAGCCGCAACACAGGCGAAGGACTAGTTCCACTATCAATCTTTAGGGCTCCTTAAACAACCATGGTCGTATCACAAAATAACATATATAGGCTCTAGTGTAGTTCCTGTTGGTTGGTTTGTATCTAGGGTCCTATAAGGCAAGCCCAAAAAGGATTCAACAAGATTAGAGCTCCGTTTCGGCACAGGTGGCTGAGCGTGCCCTTCGGTGGATCGCCTCCTCCGCGGAGATCAGGAACCATTTTCGCACCACCATCCAGAGCCTCGGCACAGTGGAGTTACAGGTTTTCGGGTACAGGAGTTTAGGGTTCTGAGGTTTTTGAGTACAGCCTTTTCATCTTAGAGCCCCCCTTGGGTTTCAGGGACCACAAACGGCCCGAGATGCCATTGCTTCTGAGGACTCTTTGGGCCAAGCTTGTCACTGCCGTCACTCTGCTGCAATGCTCATGTTCTTGAAGCCATTGGACTGCTGATTCGTGCAGACGGCGCTTGTAGCGAAAGGCTCTTTTTCCATGCCTGCCTGCCAGCTTGGTGGCGACCGTTCTGGATGTTCGGCTAGTCGGTATTGCGATGCCTTGCAGCTCAGGGCCAAGAATGTCCAGCTGACCCGGGCTAAACCCTGACCTCCTAAACCCTATAAGTCAGCTTGATCAAACACCAGAAACGCTCAGGATGCGGCAGACAAGTGGGAGGCGAGCCTGCAACTCTTGGGGGAAGCGCCTACTGCTAAGCAGCAGCCCTGCTAAAAGCATGATGGGATGGTTCTGTGTTGTCTGAGATCTGGAGGCATTGCAACAGACTGTCTCCGAGTATTCAAAAGTGTAAGATCGGCACATCCCCATCTTGCAATCCTTTCATGTTGCACTTGAGTTTCAGCTCGGTTCCGATGACCAGTGGTGGAGCTACCTCCCGGTGATCAAAGGAGTGTGGACCTCGTGAACCGCGTACTGGACCAGAAGCCATCGACCGACCTGTTGCGGGCCGCCCTCACCTGGCTAAGCAAGACGCTTGGAGTACTTTAGTAGGTTCATACTCTTTGACTCTCTCTCTCCCTATCTCCCTCTCACTCTCTCCCTCCCTCCCTCCC